TGTGATGATTCAATTGATTAATTTAAAAATCATTTGAATCCAACATGTAGTTTAAATTCATAAATTTCTCGAAGTGAATTGTTAATATTTATAATATTTGGTACATTGTTTTTGCATGTCATCATGACCTGTGACAGGCAAGGAAAATCAACACTGCACCAAAAAATAGGTGAAAACAATAACACCTTGATAAATGAACTTTTATTTATTTTCAGCCTCTTTTGTCCCTACCCTATTTTGTCCCAGTACTAAAAAACCCTTGGTCATAAAGTCTTTTTAACAATAGTTATAGGATATTTTGGTGGTAATGATGGTCCAATTGTGTGACATTACAATTTGGGCCTTTTTACAAAGCTTGAAACTACACTACATGCATCAAACAAACTCTCACAATATGTAGTTTCCATAAGTGTACCTTTATTGATCTCTTTTGCACAGACTGCATCATGACAGCGATGAGGAGCAAAGCTTAAGTCACACCACTGTGCCGCTCACAGAATCAGTCCGCTTGAGTTCTTCCTCTCACTCTTTTCTTTCAAATAGATGGCATGCAGAAAGAAGAAAGCGCTGTAAACATCTACCGAATGCACCAGACATTCAGCCTGTGCTGGGCTTGCTGGTATCGGAATGAAGGGGTGGAGGTGAGGAAGATGTGAAGGAGGAAGAGGAGGAGGAGGTGGGCGAGGGAGGAAGGGAGCTGGGCGAGCTGGCCTCACTGCTGAACCCGGCGGAGGGACTGCACCTGGAAGGTCTGAGCGTGGGAGCCCCACTCCCTGTAGTGTTTGTACTCGCCGCCATGGTGGTCACACTCCATGATGTACTGGTAACCACGGTAACCGGGGTACTGGTAACAAACCCAGCTACATGCAGTGAGAAAACACATGACAAATGCAAACTGACAACCCTAATATTCCAAGTATCTCAAATATTACAGCACCTGAATCTAATGGTGTATTGCAGGGGTGTCCAACTAACAACCTGCAGATTTTAGCTCCAACCTACTTGTCTGGAAATTTCTAGTGAGTCTAAAGACCTTCAGTGCATCTGAAATCGCATACTGTCTGATTAGGTGCTACATTTGAATTTGAACTTACTTTGCGACCTTTAAAAAATGATCTATTATGAACAGTGCTGTGTAGTAATGTCACAAAGTCATTGCTGTTTTCATGTTCATTAATGTTTGTTCATGTAATGCAGAGAATCCCAAACTTTTTTATCAGCCAAACTTGTTTGACCTAAAATATTTACAAGAAGACCCCTGGGATTTAAATTAATATTTCAAAAATGTATCATCACATTTGCATGTTCACAGTTCTCTGATGATGGTTAATGGTCACATTAACATGCAGGTAAACATATTAAATACAATTTCTATTTTTATTACTTAATCATTTCATTTAGGTTTTATATTTTAAAATAATTTATTCATCTTAATTTTACATTTTTATGATTTAGTTAATTATTAACTTTTCATCAACTCACAAACCCTGTGCATTTTTTTATGTTCAATGCACTACATGTTGTTGATTACAATGGAATAAATGGAATATGTATATTTTTTTCTTTTTTTATATCAATATGGTACACAATAATCCCAATCTAATTTATGTTATATGCAAATTTGGTCAAAAGAAATCTAAAAGTAATCAAAAAATATTTAGGATATATTAGTAATCTAACAGATTACATTAGTAACTATAAATTTCTTCATGTAATTTGTAATCAGTAACAGACTACAATTTGTAAGTAATCTTCCCAGCACAAGTATGAACATTGGTAAAATTCATCTTAATATGGTCATGTGACCTACAGCTTCAGTTGTGTTGTTTTACTGCCATTGACAAATCCTCTCCTATGGCCTCATGGGATAGCACAGAGTCCATCAAATGCACACTTCAGAATCTCGTTGGAAACAGTAGGTCATCCAGGTACTTTTCACCTACTATTTTCCGAATACTGTATATATTCAGACATACTTTTTTTTGCATATTATACAGTAGAGAAGTTTTTGATTTTTGAATGCAATACTTATTTTTTAATTTATGTTTAATTAGGGTTGTAGCTAAACTCTGCAGGACAGTGGCCATCCAGGAACAGGTTTGGACAGCCCTGGTGTAGAGAGAGAGACAAGTATGGTACTCACGCCCCACTTTGCACCTGCATTGATCCGATCTCGTTGGAGGGCCAGCCCATGGCCTGGAGAGAGGGGTAGTCATCGGTTATCTCCCACTGGTGTCCAATAAAGTTCTCCCGCTCAAAGATGGTAATCTTTGACTCCTTGTGGTTCTGCACAGATCATAACAATGGGAGAGATTGTATTTTATTTGGAGAGACTGGTAAATAATTTCACCACTGATAAGTTGACACGGTTTCAGACTCACAGCAGAGCAGATTGGCCGGAAGGACATTAGCCTCTCAATGCGGTAGGCATTGCTGCCACTCCAAGACTCCCAGTGAGGGTAGTCGCCTCTTTCCAAGATGAACTGCTGCCCACAGAAGCTGGAGTGTTCATAGCCCACCCAGCTGTTTAAATAGACACATGTACACAGAAAATTGGCATAATACAACAACAACATGGGCTCTTTTAGATGTGTGTGTCTGTGAGTGCATGACTTACGCGCCACACTCCACCTTCAGAGAGCGGACATTGTCCATACCACATTCCATGATGTTCTGACTGGCTGAGGTGAACTCCATGCGCTTGCCTTGGAAGTTCTCTTGGTCATAGACTGTGAGCTATACACATATTCACAGACATAACAGAGATGAGATTCAAAGCATTCAATAGCATTTTGCATGATTTCATAGCCATCAAGTGTTTACTTGCCTTCCATGGCCCAAGTGGCATGGGATTAGTCAGAGCCATCCTTGAAGATATCTCAATGCTGATAGACCTGAAGAACAGAGATATGCAAAAAAGAAAAAGAAAAAAAAAGGTGTGGGTTCTATATCATTTATGACAAGTGTACAAATAGCCTGAGGATAATGAACAAGAAAGATATGGCAGCCAAATGCCTTTGTTGCTCCAAGTTAGACCTAACAAAATAAATCATACTGATTCTCTCTGCTGATTTAGACGATATAATCCAAACATAACAGAATAAAACCACCGTTTACTGAAATAGAAAAGACAGGTTTATGGCCAAAACATGAGACCTTAAACAAAAAGTATACACAAACCTACAAACTGCATAGATTATATCAGATTTAGCCAAAAGCATTAGTAAAAAAAAAAAAAAACTGTCAATGTCAGGAATGTTTTGTTATGCAAAGCATAGAATGCCTAATCTTTTTTATTTTAAATACATTTTAATCAAAAATATTTATTTAAATTTAGTGTAGTCTTTTGGTTTACATTTAATTTTCTGAAATGCCAATAAAAGTCATTTAAATTTTTCTGAAATGCCAATAAAAATCATTTTAATGTAATTCAATTTAATAATTTAATTTAACTTAATTTAATTGATTTAATTTAGTACTAATTTAATCTGTTGATTTACATTCAATTTTCTGAAATGCCAATATGACAAAAAAAAGTGTCCATGCAAATTTTGTCAAAAACGCTCATGTATATGCTTGCTATGTTTGAGTTTTTAATTGTGTATACATGATAGTGCACCCCTCGTTTGAGTTTGCAAAGCATGCGATGACCACAGTGGCTGAAAGGACAACCATGAAGGGCTTACCTGACCTACCCAACAAATAGCTGCAAGCGCTCAGGAGTTCCACACAACGGTCTCCAGACCACCAACTAAGGGCTCTATTTATATGTAGCATTACAGAAAGGGAAGATTGGCCACAGGGCAGGCAGGAGTCAGCACTTTGCCCCAGGCCTCATTGTTTTGGACTGAGCCTTTGGCTTTACCCAGCTCACAATGCCATCTGCCGTAGCCAGGGAGGCATCGTGCCTACTGGCATCTGCCACAGGAGTGGATGCCAGGCACAATGATTCCATGCATGTTTTTACATATGACCAGAGCGTACGGCAAAACACACATGCTTGCATAAACACAAGCAAGCTGTTTCGACTTAAGATTGTTCCAGCAAAGACAACACAAACAGTGACTTCCAGGTTTTCAAAAATGGTTGGTAAAAGCATCGCAACCACCAAAAAAGCTTAAAGATAGTCAAAGAATGGTGGTTTTTAAGTGTTATCTGTCATTAAAAGTCCATTTTTATCCTGTACTGAGACTCGTCTGCTCTCCTCTCGCCACAGTTACAGCCACAGAGTGATTCAGAGACCCACTTCCACCTGCCTTTACATACTCGCACACATATGCATACATACGCACATCCATTACAAGCACACCCATTCAACATCCATGTCCTGCCCACTCCTTTGACTTTATGCAAAGCAGGCTGCATGGATGGGGCCCAGTGTCGCACTAGGAGGTGCATGACTAAGTAAAATGAAGCGTAAATAATAAGATTAATAATCAATTTTCAGCTTTTTAGGTAAGTGTCAATGTGGTTCTTCAATGAGACATACTTTTTGATGGTTAAATGCGTTTGACTGTGTGAATAATTACATGCATCAATATTTATAATTGTTTAATATTTAATAGTCTGGCAAATGTTGTGCATCTGTTTTTTACTCTTAACTTAAGCTCCAAATCCTTGACAACTTAAAATTGAACTGTAACCACCAAATAAAACTGCTGAAGCTTCACACAACGGCAACAAGTCCTCTTTCTCTCAATGGAGAGGTCTGTAGCCAGTCTACTGAGGTCAGCACATTGCTAGCTGTGCTGTAGAGAGTGAATGAGTGTATGTTTGAGAGAGAGTTGAAGGGATAGGGGCTGTGGAGAACCACGCTTTCTGCTGATGGAGGTAGACATCAGACATCCAGCCACAGCCTGAAACAAAGCAATGAGCAGAGTCAGCAGGGTCAGAGATAAGCCTGCACTCCAAACCCCTCCAAACACCCATCACTTTTAGCCAATAGCTTGGTCTCATTCTGCTCTAGAAGTACTGCTGGCATATATATATGTATATAAAACCCATTCGAAGCATGAAGCCCTTTTACATTTGGGCCTTGGCATCCTTTCCTTCGCCAGCACTCCTATTACATTCCATTGCTCTGTGCCTGACTGCAAAATTTTGGTGAGATTTGATTGGGGAGGTGGACATTTCAGAATGGCCACACTTTAAATAAGCTTGCTGTGACTGGAGAATGTATAGCGATAGATGTTTTTGACTGATTTGAGTACAAAGATTAATAGGTATTAGAATCATTTCTGAAGGATCATGTAACACTGAGGACAGCAGTAATAGCTGCTTTGCCATGAGGAATAAAGAATATTCTAAAATATTTTAAAATTAGAAAATTGTAATAACATTTCACAATATTACTGTTTTTCCTGTGTGTGTTTTTTTTTTTTTTCAAATTCAATAATCTTTTAAATAAGCTTGTTGTGATTGGAGAATGTATAGAGATAGATTTTTTTATTGATTTGACTGATTTGAGTACAAAGATATTAGAATAATTTCTAATAAATAAATGACTGTAAACTGTAGACTACTGCAATGACCGTTTTGCAATCAGGAATAAATTATTACTGAAAATATCTAAAAATAGAAAACTCTTTTTTATTGTAATAATATTTCACAGTATTACGGTTTTTACTTTCTTTTTTTTTTTTTATCAAATTTAATAAGAAACCCATTTTAGTTATTTCAGAGTAGCCGTCCTATAAATAAGTTTGTTTGGGGAACATAAAGATATAGATATAGATTTAGATATTTTTGCCTGATTTGAGTAAAGAAGATTATTTAGATATTAAAATAATTTCTGAAGGATCATGTGACACTGAAGTTTGGAGTAATGGCTGCTGAAAATTAAGCTTTGCCATCAAAGGAATAAATAACATTTTTTTAAATATATTAAGATAGTAAACAGTTATTTTAAATTGTAATAATATTTCACAATATTACCATTTTTGCTGCCCTTTAAATAAACTTCTTGTGATTTGGGAAATGTAAAGATATATAGATTTAGATGCTTTTCACTGATTTGAGTAAGGAAGATTCAAACTTATTACTTTATAGAAAAGACCTTGTAAAAAAAATAACTTGACTGATTTCCCAACACTGATAATGGATTCTGTATAAAACGTGTGACTACAACAAAGTATTAATCTTGAATCAGTCTTGTATTTAAGTTTAACTTCTCTTCTGTTATTAACAGCTTCAGCCATGTCACACACTGCTGTACAAGGAAGTATGGGTAGTCGCTATGCCACAGGATTGAGCTCCCACAGAGTATGTCAAATCTGCCATGTTCTTACTAGATTCCCACTTTTTCATCTAATATTGCCATTGCATGTGTGATGTCAAAGATGCACTTGCTGAATGATTTGTCTTTACTGTGTGTTCTCTGATCAGATATATCTGTTTGAGTATGAGAATTTCCAAGGGCGCATGATGGAGCTGAGTGGAGAGTGTCGTAACATCTGTAACAAGGGGCTAAACCGTGTGGGCTCCATCAGAGTGGAGTGTGGGCCGTAAGTACTCATCTGACAAATCATATGCATGATATTAATAATAATAATCATAAGATGAGAGGAGAATGAAAAATATATGGTGGTGGTGATTATTATTATTATTACACAAAAAAATAATGTACACTACCATTCAGATGTTTTGGATACAATTATTTTAAGAAATTAATACTTTTATTTTGGAAGGATATGTTAAAACTGATCAGAAGTGACAGTAAACAAAGAACCATGATAAAATGTATCACAGTTTCCACAGAAATATTAAGCTGCACAACTGCTTTCAACACTGATAATAATAAGAAATCTTTCTTAAAACAAATCAGCATATTAGAATGATTTCTGAAGGATCATGTGACACTAAAGAGAAGACTGGAGTAATGACTGCTGAAATAGATCAGTTATTTTAAATGACTTAAATACATTTAAATAACTTTAAAAGTAATGACAAATTAAGTTATTTAAAAAAAATGGATTTATTTGTAATAATTTTACATTTTAATAATAGTAATGGCTATTCATCTTTCATCTATTCATCTGAAAATTAATCTTGTCATTTTAAAATATATTAAATTAAAAAACTGTCTTTTTTAAATTAGAATACTATTTAATATCATTACTGTTATTATATTATAATATTATATTATTAATAAACTGTATTATTTGTTTATTTATTTGCTTGCTTTCTTTCTTTTCAATAAATGGGCTGCGTTAAGCATAATAGAAAAAATGTTAAAAATCATAACGACCCCCAAATTTTTAATGGTAATGTTATAAAGGAGCAATTTATATGGGAAGTCCATTAAAAAAGATAAACGTCCTAATTTTATATTTTCCATAGATCAAATAATGAAAAATTAAAAAATAAATAAATACAAATATTTTTGTAATTCTTTTTTATTTGTTAACTCCACATCTAATCAGTCACACAAAACCACTGTTAACTAGCATTGATTATCATACAATCTGATTCATAAATACACTATTTTTTCTATACTGTAAATGCAGTAGATGTAAACAGAGCATTTACAGTACATGTGTCCTTTACCATCTTGCAGATGGGTAGGTTTTGAGCAACAGGATATGACCGGTGAGATGTTCATGCTTGAGAGGGGCGAATACCCACGCTGGGACACTTGGTCCAATAGCTACCGTTGTGATTGTCTCATGTCTGTCCGGCCCGTTAGAATGGTGGGTGACTGTTGCATCACTCCATTTCCCACTTCATCCCCAACCAACCAATACAGGAACACAGTAACAAACTTATGGCTTTTCTACATGTAGGACCCAAAGGACCATAGGATCTGTCTGTATGAATGCATGCACTTTGATGGTCGTAAAATGGAGGTTTCTGAAGAAGACATCCCAAGTTTGTGGTGCTATGGCTTCCAGGACAGAGTCGCCAGCATTGAAGTAAATGGTGGAACGTAAGTGATTTAGCATCTCTTATATATTACAAAAAGATGATTACCTATTTGATGTCACCTTATCAATTAACGTATGCTACGTTCATTCCTACTTTAGGTGGGTTGGATATCAGTATCCAGGCTACCGTGGATATCAGTACCTGTTTGAATTTGGATCCTACAAACACTGGAATGAATGGGGCGCCCATCACCCCCAGATCCAGTCTGTGCGAAGAGTGAGGGACATGCACACGCATCCCAGAGGTTGCTTCGAGATGGCATAAGGAACGACACATGGCATGGACAGGTGGACACAACAAAACCCTGCAGAGAAACCCTGTGGAATGTTCAAAAAAATCTTCATATTCAAAAAGAGCTGCTCTAAATAGGAATGAACTATCATGTGTTCATGTGTGTCATGACTGGTTGCAGAACCAATTTTAAGTACAGCATTTTACATCCAACCGCTTAGTTAAAAACAAGTTTAGCAAATGGATAAAACAATTTTATGTCCCAAATTTAATGCCTGTTGAAGTATTCATCAGTTTTGTTTGATAGTTTTGCATCATTGCATGTTTTTGCTCTACCCAAACCTCCTAGCATTTTGTTTCATTAGTTTATATAAGAATATCTACCATCCACAAATTACCTAAAGCTAATCAGAATCAATTTCTAATTTAGCTGCTAAACCCTGCAGGGAATAGTCATTGAACCAGAAGGAGGTGCAATTCAGCACCTCAGCATACTCAACCTTCTCCTGCTTCGTCACAGCACATGATCTAGAAGCTCAACCAGTATGGTGATGATAAAGGTTCTCAACATGGCAGGCTGGATGGGAAGAGAAGAACTGCTTTTCTTCCTCTTGTTCCTGGTACAGATTTCAGACATCCTTTATTTTCGAAATAGAGGAGATCCTGCAACACTTTATCTTTCTCAGGGATGCTGGCATCTAAAAACACATTTACTTGAAAATAAATAAACAAAAATAAAAGATTTTAAAGCACAATTATTGTACAATGTCCTTAATTCATTGCTCTGCTCTCATATTAACAGTGCTTAGACTTGAGAACACATTAGGTGAATTATTTAATTATATAATTCATCATGCATAATAAATGAGGTAACAAGAAAAATTAAAACAATAACTTATATACACACTAGCTGGTAGTGGATAGTTGATATATGAAGAAAAAAAATCCCTTGCAAAAATTAACGATGGTTTAATTATAGTAAAACTGTATAGTAACCATGGTTTTTTGGCGTATTGATTACGATTTGTATAACCACAGTTTTACTACAAATACCATGGTTAAACTATAGTTCACGAGTTCGCCTGCCCATCCAGTCCTGATGGTTAATGGTAAACGAACTTGGCTTGTTGTCTTTAATAGAGGCTCGAACCCGAGGCTCCACTTGAGCACCGAGTTCAACCCCCCATTGGGGTACTACCTAGAGGGAGAAAAACAGAAATAGAGGAGGAGATGGGGAGGTGGAGGGATGCTGGAAGAATTGACGCTGGGACCATGCAACGAGAGCTGCTTATTTAGGCTCGCCATGATCATTGACAGGACTGAATGATAAGGCTCCTCCCTAACCTACGTTTGGAACTTCATTTAGTGTTGCAAAACCATGGTTAATTTGTGGTTACCATGGATTAACTATAGAACCATGTTTTTTTGGTTTTATATGAAGTTCCAAATGTAGGTTGGGGAGGAGCCTAATTATTCAGTCCTGTCAATCATGATTATGAGCATATATAAGCAGCTCTCATTGAGCCGTCCCAGTGTCAATTCTTCCAGCACCCCTCCACCTCCCCATCTCCTCTATTTCTGTTTATCTCCCTCTAGGTAGTACCGCAATGGGGGATTGAACTCGGCGCTCAAGCCAAGCCTCGGGTTCGAGCCTCCATTAAAGACAGCAAGCCAAGTTCGTTTACCATTAACCAGCAGGACTGGGTGGGCAGACGAACTTGTGAATTGTAGTAAACCCATGGTTGATTTTCGTAAGGGTTGTAGATAGATAGATAGATAGATAGATAAATAGATAGTGAAAATAGCCTAGCTAAAAACTCTCTCTCGCTCTATGTATATGTACAAAAAAAGTATTTTCAAATGAAATAGCAGACATTACTTTAAAACAGAATTGACTTTCGAACCGTCTGCCCACTTCCTTCCGCAAGTTAATACTGTTCATCTCGCTAGGGTTTTGCTCGATTACATGAAGTGGTTGCTTTAATACCTTCAGCAGCAGGCAGACATGCAGATTACAGAGCTAGAGCCACTCGCCCTAGGAACGAAGGAGTAAAATAACTCAATATCTTTAGAAGACTGACTGGCTGGGGGAGGTGAATGCGCTATTGTATCCGTAAAAAGGCTGCGTTAAATAACGACAACGCATAACACAGCAGAGGTGAGGCAAACAAACGGCCCTTGCCAGAGAGGTTGGGTGCGAAGACTGCAACTCGTGCACGAACAGCAGCATCGTATAGCATTTAGAGATGAAAGTGAAGCAAGGCTGCGACGCGGATGTCCCGTGTACGACCGAAGAGGTTTTGTTAAAAAGCACAGAAATAACGCCGGAGGATGTACTCGGGCTGCAGAAGATCACAGACAGTAAGTTCAGTAACATCTATGTCACTCTCAAACAGGAAGCTTCCAATGACGAGCTGCTCTGCTAACTTTACACTGTTGCACATTTACCAGTGCGAAATTGCAGGTTTCGCTCCTGCATGTTTAGTCTCTAGGTTTGTGTTTTATTCAGTCTCGCGCTGTGACAAGTACGAAACATTTAGCGTATGTGTCTTTGTATGGTCTTCATTTTGGCCGAACGAATCCAGTGATATGGTTCATTCGGCTCTTCCTTGGTAAATAAACAACACTGTGGACATTTCCATGTACTGACTGACAGTGACGACGTATGCTATTAAGTTTACTGATGAATGGGCTGAGAATTGAGAAATATATCCATTATTTATGGTCGAAGTGGACGGAACACCGTAGTAAAATACTCGAACAGTGATTCCTGCACGACTGTTCATCAGCGTTGCGAATGAATGACTCTTTTGAGCCGGTTCTTTTTAGCAAATCAAAACTATAGTCCGACAGCTTTGACTAATGTAGGTTGCTTCTCGAACGAATGACTCTTATGAGCCGGTTCTTTTTAGTGAATCAAAACACTTACTTATCCCTGTGTATTAATCTGACGTAGGTTCATATGAAAACGTGTAGTCAAAGATATACATTTTGTGTTTTGTTGTAATCAGTGGCATTTCATTTAAAAAATAGGCTGAAAGAAAGAAAGAAAGAAAGAAAGGTATGAAATATAGGCTAGTTATTGTTTGTTTAATCAAACAACAACAGTTAACGTAGGGCAAATTTTAAAGGACCTCTAAAAAGTCTGTAAAAAGTCATTAAATACAAGAGTTATACACAGGCCTATCTGTTAACCGAGATATCCTAACTGATTCTCAGGTGTGATTGTTTTGCAAAAAAATTTCCAGAATCTAAATAAGAGCCTATCTTATGATTAGAGGATCATTTGTATCCATTATTCATTTTTAATGAAGGTTTTTATGTCCATGTAAGATTACAAAGTTATTACTCTTGCTGAATCTCATACTATCTGGGAAGGTTTTCTCAAAACAGGCTTCAGCATTTACTTTAATTACTGTTTAAGTACTGTAAGTACTGTAGCACACACTTAAACAAGTGATAGGGTTATTAAAGTTAACTAAAAATCCATTAAAATATTACTTGAAATTAAATATATAATAACAAAAACTTTATTTCAGCTAGTTAAAGGCACAATATGTACGATTTTTTTATGAAAATATCCAAAAACCACTAGAACAGTGTTATATATTTTGCTGACTCGTGTACTTACATTATCCCAAATGTTTCGAGGAATGTTTAAATCCAGAGAAATAAGCAATTTTAACTAGTGACACGGGTCGTGTCCATAGTGTCATTGTGTCGCCTGCCAATGACGTCATAACCCCTCGATTTCCGGTTTTGTTTTGCAGAAAACATGGAAACACCAAAGACGCTTTAATATGTTGTGCGTTTTATTAGACCGGTGACGACCGCACAGGGTAGCATTATAACAGAACTTTCAAATGTATCTAGTATGATAAAACAGCGCTGCTTTTTTTCCCCGCATACGCACGACCAGAAGAAGCGGAAGTGGTCGACTGTGGCATAATAAATGCTCCGCTGCTTTCGAGCAGTGTGTCACGCTCGTTCAGCGGCCTCGTTTCGCTTCGACGGCTTTCAGCCTCACCATGCTTCATTCTACTATGTTAATAAATCATTAGCTCATCCATGAACATGATTTCTGCCCGAGTCCCGTCGGATTGCATGGGCTGTGGGGATGAAGACCACAACTCCCATGATTCCACAATCAGTCATGGCGTGTTAGAATTTGATTTGACTAATGATACTTAAAAAGGAAGTAAAATTCTGATTTACTCATTCAACGATTGCATGGGCCGTGGGGATGAAGACCACAACTCCCATGATTCCACAATCAGTCATGGCGTGTTAGAATTTGATTTGACTAATGATACTTAAAAAGGAAGTAAAATTCTGATTTACTCATTCAACAACTGTTTCTTCTTCACTAGTTAGCTTACAATTTAATTACAGTTAAAAAGAGGACCTTGTTGGTTCAGTATATTATAATTTTTGCATGTATCACTTCATCAGGAACTCAGATGCTAAGCTTTAGTACGGCTGGATGACTCAATATTGCTTGTGAGCTGTTGTTCTGGCTGTTTTAATGTTGTCTTGCTCATTGCTCCAGCATGCAAGGCACTCTATCTGGCACTTAAACAAAGATAACTGAGCAAAGACCAGATCTGTTAAATGCAACTGCTCAGTTTCTACAGATTTCAGATCATCAACAGTTTTTACATTACTGGCAATGTCACAACTTACTGAAAGACTTTTGCATTACTGTTACCCTTATCTCATGACTTCTTACAGACCATAAAGAATATTTCACTTGGAAATAATAACTACTCTCTCATCTTTGCCATCACTTGTTGTTGTGAGTCATTAGCTCTGAAATATGAGTGGTTTGTGGTTGAAAAATCAACAGTGTATTCTTATCCTGAGTTTTAAAACATCTACTTGAATAAATATATTTACAAATGCGTGGAAGAGAAGTGCTGAGAAATCACTCTCCTTTATTTAAATTTAAAAAAAACATGTCTGTCTAATCATTTGAATTAGCGCTCTAAAAATAAAAGCTGCTCTTGTTTAAGGATACAGGCTGCTATTCTGAGGAAAGTGGACATTTGTATGCAAGCTTGCTTTTTTGTCTTCTTTAACTCGTTACTGTTATAAACAAGAATGCAGTGTATATTTCAGTGATAAAATAGTATAAATGTAAGTTATGTTAAATAAATGTTGCGATTTCATTAGAGAAATTGATTGGCTTTTTAGCAAATGGTTACATCCTTCTATCTTTAGTTTAACTGCTCAGTTTGGCACTTTAGTTAGAGTGTTTGAAAACTTAATAAAGGATGAATTATATGGTGTTTAGATACGCACATTATACCTCATAAATCTAAATGAACCTGTGTGGTCTTGTAAATGAACGCTGGATCGATCATAATCTGTGTTTGTTATCTTCTGAATCCAATCCAGGATAACTACCACCTGTTATTTTTGGGTAAACAAAAGGAACTGCTGCGTATATGTTGCTAGGTGACAGCATTAGAAGCAGTGAAGAGAGGCTCCTTGGTGGTTTGGAAAGCTACATTGACACTTGACTGCCACATTGCTCTGATTATTTCTGTCTTGATTATGATTTGCACACATTTGACGTTTTGTCAGATAAATCTAAAAATCACACAGATACTGCTTAATATAAATGAATTGACTTGGCTATGTTAGATTACACAAGCAAAAACATCTTTAAGGAACAGGCAGAAATAACTCATTAAAGTAACAACTGCACATTTTCACTTTTTTATAGTTCACAAATAAAGCAGATGCTTAATAAACAAACCAGGAGCTTTGCCCTCTTGATGTGAGGTTTTTCAGGCAATCATCTTGGACCACTGGACCATTGAACTTTAAAATGACACATGGTTACACTTATAATGAGGCCTCCATCATGAAAACTGAGTTATGAAAACTAGATATTTGTTTTATTTTTTTAAATGTATCAGCTAAACATTATAAATAATTGACTAAACTTATAATAATGCCTCCATCATGAAAACTGGGTTATGGTATAAACTAGGTATTCTATGTTATACATTATAAGTTATACTATATTTAAAAATGTTACCATCTGAGTATTAAAAATAAATGACTAAACTTAAGATGCCTCCATGAAAATGGGGTTATGAAATGAGATAAAAAGTATAAAAAGTTTTTTAATGTACCTGCTCAACATTCTAAATAATTGACTACACTTATAATAATGCATTCACTCTGAAAATATTATGTTATGTTGTTATATTATATTAATATTTTACCTTCTCAATATAAAAAATAATTGACTACACTTATGATGCCTGCAGCATGAAAATGTGGTTATAAAAACTAGATAACAGTATTTATTTGTTTGTTTGTTTTATCTTCTAATTTAATATTAAAAATACTGTGTTGTGTCCAAATTATTTCTCTTTCCTTTTTCCATTTTAAAGCATACAGATCTCACTAAATAAAGTTTAAATTACTGAGATTTACTCTTAAAAATATGCGCTTATGTTTTGTGTAAACATTATTTATGTTGACATGAACTGTCTCTGTTCATCTGTAGTCTCTCTTCACCTCTTCACTGACTATTTGTATTTTTGCACTCACTCACAGCAGTGCTCACATACAGTAGATTGGTCCCACTGTGTGCCAATTCATGAGGTTAAGTAAACATAGCAAAACATTTCCCTGAACAATTTGTTGAGTGCTATAAAGGTGTTGATATAACAAGCACGTTTTGTGGTATTAGCAAGTGCAGTAAAAAAAAAAAATTTAAAAAAAAAAGTGAAATATGCAAAGTAGCTATCTGTTTCTTGTCTATTCAAGTTTCAGTTCCGCTCTGAATCGGCTCTTGTGCGAATGTGTCAATATCCGCGGGACATGTTTGAAAACTACTAATTCCATAGGACATTTTTTAGTGAATGATTAATGCTTCATTTATCATTTTCATCATCACATATCTGATTTGTGACAGTTTTGTGGAACACTGCCATTTTTTTTTTTCCATCAGCATAATTATTTTCATGCTTACATGAAATAGTTAATTATTTCATTAATAAACCACAATATAGAGCTGTTTTAAAGCCTGAGCAGATGTTAGTATTTTGCCTTCCCTTTCTCAGATTGGCACACTTCTGAATCAGAGGAGCTATAAATATCTCAAGTGATTGGCTAAATCCAGTGTTGCCCGTCTGTTAACTAACAGGAAGCTTGGGTAGAGGATAGGTGGGACGTCTGCACTGTCCCATGGGAAGGAAGTGATATACTCAGCCTGTAGTGTTGAGCTCATCTCAGTGTCATCCTAGCAGAGATGGACCTCTCAAAAGTTAGTGTTGTCCCAAATCCCCTTAGCATCTCCCAATCTGTGCCATGTGATGGTGAACAATGTAAGCTTCTTAAGTATAATCCATCCCAGGGAGAAGAGGGCTGACACAGCTGCTCCTCGCACCTCATGTGCCTCTTCTGGGAGTCTGGCATGAGGAAAGAGGGACGCATGTGAAAGGGCATGATAAGACTGGACTGACCCAAGTCATTAACTCCAGGCCACAAATAAATCACCACATATAGTATTTGGACAGTTAAGTTGCACTGTATGTCATTGCATTAGGTTTTTAAACTGGGGTCCAGGGACACCAAAGGAATGCTTTGCTTATGGGTCTCTATATATATATATATATATATATATATATATATATATATACACATACACATATATATACACACATAAAAGACC